CTCTAACCATATCATCTCTTCTATTTTCTCCACTAAAAATTAATTTCTTTACCAATTTTTGATTCAATTTGATCATTAATTTTCTTCTGAATAATTCACTTTATCTTATGCTAATTCGATATTATCGCAAAATCAAAGGACATTTATGCTAATTTGATATTATTCACTTTAATTACAGTCTTAATCTATTAATTTTCCGATATTGTTGTCCTGCGCAACACGCGGGTAGTTGCCTAGTCATATCCTTAGTAGAAAGGCAAAGAGTAGTAAATCATGTAATCTTTGGAAAATACCTCATAAACATCTTTCTTCATAGCTTATAAAAACAGCTTAATAAAACAACCATGTATGTTGCCATAGAGCTCCTCTAGATTCTATTTCATCTCTCATTAGTAACCCAATGTATGCGAATAAACATAATATGTTCTATATCTCTCAGGATTACGTCGAGCTCCTCTTGGTTGTCATTGCATCTCCTGCGAAGTTCGAATCATGGATAAAAAAATATCCAGTATTTGGAAGTAAATTGATCTATACAATGGCTATAAAGAAAACCCATCAGCGCATTGATAATTTATATAAACCATACCCCGACTTATATCCCTATCCTTCACGTCTTTCTTCTTGCTACTCCTCTTTTGATTTTCTTGATCTCTACATCCTTCTATCACCACACCCCTCTCTCTTTCTGAAGTAGATGCAAACGGATATATGCCAACATTTTTAACCAAAACAAAGAAACATCTAAGACAGAAGAATCAATTATGTGAAGAGTCATCTTTCCTCTATTACAGAAGAAGATCAACGGCCGCTTGATTTAGTAGATAGGAGAAGGAAAATTAATTTGAAGTGTTTTTAAAATTTTTAAACAAACAATATGCAAAGAGTATTTAGATCAAACCTCGTAGAGAGATTGATAGAGGCGTTTTGATTGCATTTCTTGCCTCGTCAAAAGTTTGAAATAGAGTGGAGACCTATTTTTCTCAATCAATCCTCTCACCTTGAGTCTTTCCTCAAACCTTAAAATATTGCTTGTACATATCTTTTGGAAAATCTGGGAAAGTAAGAGAATCCTAGAAGTCGTCAGTACGATTTTATATGAGGGTATGTTTTCAGAAGAGAACGATGTAAACGTAAAGTGATGAAGAAAGGAGGGGAAGGGCCCGAGCGCTTTTACACAATCTGAACGTGGCTATTTTTATTGGCCGAGTCATTAACTAATTGAAAGTGATTTTTAGTTTCAGGTTTTTAGCGTTTAGAAAAAAAAAAAGAGTTTAGAACATATGCCAACTAAAGAGGCCGCCACATGTCACAGAGATGGAAAGTGCTGGCCATTTTTTATATAGTAGATATGCCACCATAATTGGTAATCCAATTAGGCGGAGAATTGTTTACAAAAGAAAATTCAAAACCTCTAGAA